TTTTTTTTTTTGCTATCTTATTTGTTAATTTAATGTCAGAGGCATATGTGATTCATTACTGATTACAGTTAATTTTTAGTCCTGCATTTTACCGGGTGACTGCTTGTTAATTACCATAATTTGTTGGAAAATCCAGCTGTAGTCTAATAAATCAGCTTCTCATTTCAAGTTTGGTTCGAAGACAAAAAGATGTTCCCATCTAAATCAATGAGTTGTTTTTAGTCTCGTTTCAACTTTCTTTATGGTCGTTTAACCGGTTGAGTGCTTACGTTTGATTCATAACTTAAACAGGTGAAGACTTGCTGGCAATTGCTGCAGATCAACCATTCCGTTTTCCAGCTACTTTCACTTTTGTTGTTAGAGCTTTCTCAGGTATCTCGTTGTCCTTCTCGCTACTTAATATTTTATTTATTTATTTATTTTTATGACAGTTGTATTTACCTGAAGTTTATGTGTAACAGTGTTGGATGGTATTGGGAAGGGACTTGATCCTCGATTCGATATCACTGAAATTGCTAAACCGTAAGTTTGGTTGAAAATTACTTTTGGTGTCCATGATCGCGTATGGAATTCTTTCTATGTCGCAAATAATTCGTTCAGAATACCAAAAAAAAAAAAAAAATCCAGTTATTGTTTTCAAATTTGCAAATACGCATCAGAATAATTTCAAGTATTCGCTGATGTATATGTTTATTGGCTTACTCCCAATCAGCGCGAATGTCAAAGGATACTGTAATAGAAAAAATAATTGGATTTTTTAGTCCTTTTAAATTTGACTCGAACCTCAACAGTAGGAACTTAACTGGGTTAAAATTTAATTTAAAGGAAAAATTATATTTGTTTCGACTAATGTACCTTTTCTTTCCCGACACAGCTATGCTCTAGAATTGTTAAAGTTCCGTGAAGCTGGTGTTGAAGTCATCAAAAAGGCAAATTTCTCAAAACCTCCTTTTAGCATGATATATGTTTCAAACATAAGATAAGGAAGTTACAAAACAGTAGCAAAGTTTGCTGAAAAATATATTGCATATTTTTGCAGGACTTGAAGAACAGATGGGATAGACAATCTCGTGCATTTTACAATCTGTTTAGACAGGCTGATAGAGTCGAGAAACTTGCCGAGATTATCCAACGACTGGTTAGCATTGTTTTTATAGTTAGTAGGTTTCACATTGTTCGAAAAGAACTTTCCAGTAAAAAAACAATTAGTATCTTTTGAATTTTTATCGCTTTGTGTTATCATAGGAGCAAGGCGATTTGAAGCTTCGTGTACGAGCTTTGGAATCTGAGAGGGCCTTCCAACGTGTGGCAGCTGTTCAAAGCACAATTGGAAGTGTAAGTTTGTAATTTATATGACAACTAATAGAACTTAGGTCATTAAATAAAATGATAGTTGATGTAGAAAACAATGATTTTCGTGTTCATTCATTAAAAATCATACTTATTCGATTTCTAACTATTAACAGGCGATTGCGGCTGGAAGCTTAATCAACCTGGCCACTGTTTTATATCTCAATTCTATTCAAGTTAGTCCTCAAAATTTATTTTTCAGTTGTATCTTTTCATTCATGTTTTTACCTGAATTTTTCCTTTTAACTAATAGTTTCCATTTTCAGACACCTGCTACGATTGCATACTTCCTCTGTGCGTATTTCGGCTTGAAGGTTCTGATTGGCATCGTGAAAGTTAAGAAATTTGATCAAAGAGAGAAGCTGATAACTGGAACTGCTTAAACAAAATGGTGCTGTCAAAGTCATTTTAGATTTTATTTTTCCGCTTTCCAAAATATCTTTTCGTTTCATGTGCATTTCGACTTATCGAATAACGTTTATATTTTCAGCTTTCGAACCAAGACTCGCATTCCAAGCCCATTCATAAGAACCAGTCGGCTATTCAAGAGTTTTGCACGACTCGGGAGATTTTTTCACGCTGCTGCAAGATTCAACGTGGATCGAACTTTGGGGCTACGCGAGTATGTTGCTTACAAAACTTATATATTCATGCATTTTTTATTTTTTTTCTCGCACTTATATATGTATTAGGTTGTATTATAACATGAAAATAATAGAATCTGCTTGAGGCTTGATTTTCATGCAGCAGGCATATCCCTTAACTTTTCATGACTTATTTTTGGAGGTATATATATGAGTAGGCTGTGTATGTAGGTACTAATAGTGGTTATATATTGTAATCTCTTTGGTGGGATAATTGAATATGCACTGTATAGTATTTATTTTATTTTATTTTATTTATTTACTTTTTGTTACATATGTTTTCTGAAATTCTGGGATAGAATGGAAAATGAACTGAAAAATGTTGGACAGTTATATGTTTTCATCATTTGTGTGCTTTCACTCTAAAATCTGACATTTTAAAATACAATGTAAATATAAGTATGATACTTTAGTGTAGTTATACAATTTTAATTAAAAAAAAAATTGTCTAATAATGAATTACTAACGAAAACTCGACAAGTTTAACGGTAATTTGATAAAGTTAGTTG